GTTCAGAATATTACAGCATTATACAGTATTCATTTATTACATTTTTTAAGCTAATGAGGCACCTGGTAAGTGTTTCTCCACTCAGAGAATATCAGTGATCCAACTGATTATTTAAGTAAGAGCTTCCCGAGTCCCTCTTTGGCTTTACACAGCAGTTACGTTCTTGAAATGATTATGTTGGGATGTGATGGTGTGTGACAAAATGTTAGTTCTAATCATGTGATGGGCATTTTTCTATTCCTTAAGTATCTCCTCTGTCCTTTACAAAGTCCTTAGCTGAAAACAGACAGCAGTGACTAGACTCATGATTTTGACCTCAATTAATGTCATGAATTGTGCTCTCTAATGGAATTGCAGTATTGAGAAGGTCCTCATGTAGTGGAGAGAAGCATTTGCATTGACTGAACTGGGAGTATTTTAAGAGGTGGTCAGGTCTGTGTTCTGATGTGAAATTCACTTTATGACAGTTTTCTTTCCTTGTGAAGTAAAACTGATAATCTTACATCACTGTTGAAGGTGACTGGAGCTGAAATGTTTTAATTTGTTTGACTTTGAACTGAAATAGAGTAGGGGCGTGCTTATGGTGTTAAAGTTGTGGAGCTGTTTTTGTCCACTATTGAAGTTTCTGCTCATTAAATACATTATGAGCAACAAATGTTCATACTGAGTTCTTGTTATTTTCCAGCTCTACAACACCAGAATATTCTAGGCCTCTTTCTAGTTGCACCGACTGGGAAGGTAGAATTGAAGAAGGCGAAACAATGAGGACATCAAATAGAAAAATGACAAAGTAGGTATTGAGTAATTATTAATTATTGTTGTGTTGGTTTTAGCAATAGCCATCTGATGATCTCTGACTGCTTTACACGAGTTAATGAAAATTTGAAACACAGCCAGGCTGTTTCATATCAAGCCTGAAGGAAGCCTTAAGGAGAGAGTAGCGCTGAGAAGTCTTACCTCAAAAGCTACATGTGTGATCATTTCAGATTGTCTTCTTTTTCAGCTTAAATTCATTACAACTTTCTGTAAGAGAAAATACTGGATAGTGAAAGGAAAAATGAAAACCAGCCATCGAGGCTTGGAGAGAGAAATGGCTATTAGATCATTCAAGCTAGCCTCCTTTATATTATCCATCTTCATTTTATTGAGTTTAACCTTTTTCATGTTTATGTGAGGTTGTTACACATATATACAATAATTGTGTATCATTTGATTTGCTTGCTGTAGGACCAACTGTAAGCTTCTAGTAAGGTAGCTCTAACTTCAGTGCCCTCAGGTATCTGTTTACTTGTTACAAACCTGAGCAATTGCATGAACTTGGAAAACCGACTCTCTTTGTTGTAGGGATTTGTTTGGTTAGCACAACTTTCACTTCTGAAAACTGGTGAAGAGTTGTGCTTACTGTCTATCAGAGTAAGAATACATGCAGTTCTAGAGTATGCATTTATATGTAACTTGTTGTAAAGCTATTAAGGTTCTTTTCAACTTAATTCTAATTTTTATTTTTAAGTTCTGTTTCAAGTGATTGTGCTAATCCAGCTGAAAGGGAAACAGATGAAGTGGTTCTGAGGAGAAGACAAAAACAGATCAATTTTGGAAAGAATACCCTTGCATATGACAGATATATTAAAGAAGTTCCCAAGTAAGTTGCACTATGTTGCCCATTTCCAAATAAACTCTTACTTGTTCCTTACGTGTGTGTAGATCAGCACACAGCTTTAGTTCTCTTAAAATTATATGAACAGTAAGTAAATAAAACTTGAGTTGATTTTTATCAAGGAGAAGCCAGGTATTTTCTGCATACAAGCAAATTCAGCTAGGGAAAATTTAAAGCTAAATGTTCCCTTTGTGTATTGCTGTTGCTAGTAGCAAATACACTTTAAATAAATTCTGTATTAATCAGCTCCCTGTGACGCTTCTGGTGACTGTGTTGCTAGGACAGTGTGAAGGTAATTGATACCAGGAAATGGCAGCTTTGAATGAGGACTGAATAAAGCCTTGCATTTAAGTACTGGCAAGGGAAACCAGTCTTCAGTGATTCGTCAGTGACTAACAAATCAAAACCTCGATTTCTTGCTTTCTCTGTCATTCTTCTTTGGGCTTCAGAGTCTGTGAATTGTGGCACTTAAGATTTCTTAGCCAACCCACTCTGCTTACGCAGAGTATCAAGATTCAGAAGCTAGTCTGTAGTAATGCATGGATGTGCATCTGTGTACTTGTCTTTTGATTTTGAGGGTTATTTTTCAGAGGTGTGTTTTTTTTTTTTTTAAAGTACAGCTTGCTACTTACAGTTGTCGGCTTTCTCTGGGTTCTACCTGTAAGGGTCTGTTGTGAAAATTGCCAGCCAAGTGCAGTGGATACTGCAAGCTTATTGTTGAGCAAAACTTGAGAGATTAGACTAAATGACTAAAAATGAACAATGGATACCGTAAATGATCACGGATATCACACAGTATTACGATCACATCTTCAGTAACACTTTTTTCATCAGAGTCTTGGATTGCCTTGTGAATTGTAATTTTGTTTGTTGCTTTGTCATCAGTGGTAGGACTGCAGCCAGCCTTACAGCAATGCCTGGCACTTGCATAGCTGTGCTGTGATCAGTTAGGTCGTAGGTGGAGAATAGGAAAGGGTTAGAACAATGTTCAGAAAAAAACCATGGAATAAACTTGAAAAAAGAAGTGTTCTAGGGGACATTTTAATGGGGTAGTTTAAAATATTGTTCCTTAGCAGGGATCTGTTTATCTTATAAAAAGTGCTATGGCTAAGTACAGTGATCTGTGAAGCTGGTAGGGAGAACCACTTGCGACCAAGGTACTTTGTATGATTTAAAACATTATTGTAATATGCTTTCCCCCCCGGGATTAAAGCCAACTCCAGTATGGTAGGACTAAAAACATGATTATTTTGTATTGGAGATAGAGTTTGAGTGAGCTCTGCAGTAATGTTTGGTGGGCAGAATCTGGGTTTGGGATACCATCTGAGAAATAGCACTTCCAGCCATGGGGTGATCCCAGACAGTTTTGTTGTACTGTCTGCTTAGTGTTGATTCAGTGGAAAGGCATATAATTTACATTTTACCCAGAGAGCGTGGGTACTTTGCTTCTGTACTCCCAAAAGACAAACACTGTTTGGAATTATAGCAATCCCCTTTGTAATAATGCATGGACAATGGTGGAATAAAAGTTCAGTGAAGATACTTGTGAGAGGTACCCTGCCAGTACCCAAGTACCCAAGTACCCACACAGCTGCTTCCTCCCTCCCTCCCTCTCCCCAGTTTGATGGGGAAAGCATAGGAAGAGCAAAAGTAGAGAAAACTGATGGATTGAGATAAGGACAGTTTCATAGGTGAAGAAAAGAAAAGAGAGGACAAAGAAAGTGATGCAAATGCAATCACTCGCTACCTCCCACAAGCAGACTGATGCCCTTGCAGTTTCTGAGCAGTGGCTGCTTTGGAAGACACCTCCGTTTCTTCCTCTGCCCCATTTTTTGTTGCTGAGCATGACATTATAGGGTGTGGAATGGCTCTCTGGGTAATTCGAGTCAGCTGTCCCAGTGGTTTCCTCTCTCAACTTCTTGTTCACCCTCAAATTAGTGGCTGTGGGAGGGGCAGAGTGAGGAAAAAGAGAAGGCCTTGAAGCTGTGCAAGCACTTTTCAGCAATAGCCAAAAATTAGTGTTATCAGCACTGTTTTAGCCATAAATCCAAAACACAGCACTACAGGGACTGCTATGAAGGAAGTTAACTCCATCCCAGCCAGACTCTGTACAATACTAAATAGAGAGAAACTGCACTTGACTTGGGAAAACTGAGATAGAAGGAGCTGGAGACTAGGATGATATTGAAGGGGTATGAGTTATACTGCTTCTGTTCCATATTTGTCCATGGGCAGTAGGGATCTGCTTTTGGCACCTGTCAGAGTGCTGGGCTGGATGAACCTCTGGTCAAACTCTGCATGTTATTGTTAGTTGTTGCTTGTGTGGTCTGTTTTTGACAATGTTTTAGAATATAGGCATTTCAGTTAAGTGTTTAAAAATATGAACATTTTATTTAGTAGGCCACTGATGCCTGTGTGATCTGATGGAGAATTTTTTTTAAAGAATGAAAATCGTGTTCTGAAATAATAAATGTACTGTGTATGTACAGGAATCAGCGAATACCAGGAGTTCATCCTAGAACTCCCAACAAATTTAAGAAGTACAGCCGTAGATCCTGGGACCAGCAGATCAGGCTGTGGAAGATAGCACTGCATGCCTGGGATCCTCCTACTGAAGAAACCTGGGATTTGCAGCCAGTGTATGTATGGATGAATTAAGTCAGCGCTTGTCTTTCGCTTCACAGGTGAACTCTGTATTTTCTTTTAGAACATTCCTAACTGGGAGTGAGAGATAAGGTTCAGAAATGGGAGTCTTCTTGAACACCTTGTTTTCCTCTTGTATGCTGTTAGTCTTCAAGATATTCCTGTTACTTAGTCTAAATTCATCTCCAATAAAGCACTCTGGGGAGGAAGGCATTTGGTCTGTACGCTCCCTTCCCCTGTGTGTTTACTCTGGTCAGCACAAGGTGAAACTACCTTTCTAGAAAGGGATAGGCATAAGCAGAAATTTGGTAATTACTGTTCCTTGACCTTGATAACCTTTCCATCTTTCCTTTTTCTGATGTCAGTGGAACCACCTTTCTCCTTCAATAACAATATGTTTGAGGATTTGACAAGCGTAAGAAGTTTAGAGAGATTTCTGTGCTCTCTGCAGGAGAGTGGACGCTGTGTTCAAGATGGAAAATTTTTTTTGTCTTTTCAGAACTTTGAATTTCTGTAACAAGGCTAGCTCCACTAATTGACACGACCTTATTCATTACAAGATTTGGACTAGTAAACTAGGAGGAAAAAAGTGAATGGAATGCCGTTAGCTTTGTAACTGCATTGTGTAAATAGTTTTAGCTGTTGTAATTGACTGATGGTGGAAGTTGCAGTTGTTTGCACCATTTGGATGTCATATGAGATGAATGTTAATTATTACTGCAGCTTAACTATCTTGGAGCGGTAAGCCAAATGGGTAGTATTTTAAATCCTTTTTTTCTTTTTTTCCCCGGTTTTTAGTAGTACAGAACCCTCAGGCAGTTCCCAAGAATGGTTCTGCAAAGATCGGGATGTTTCTGACTCCCTTGTATTTGATGAAAAGCAGAAGAGAAATGAGTGTGAAGATGAAAGCAGACAGGCTGACTACACACCAGAAAGGTATGAGAAAACTTTTGTGGTTAACTTACTGAAATAATTCAATACACATGATGCTGTCAGATTTTTTGTAGGAAATGTTTAATGAGGGAGGGCAGTTAATGCTCAGATTCAGGGTTTGGCGCTTTTACTGTTGAATGTACTCCATCACTGGTACAGAGCATTGAATGTGGAAAAACTACCAGCATTACAGAATTGCAGATTAATAGCAGAAAAAGACAGTGTTTTTTCAGCTTCTCTGTTTATACAATGGAGTACTGAGGTTTCTTTAACCACTGTTGGCAAGTGCTGAAAGTAGGATACCTTTTCCAGAAGCAAGAGTGACCATCCTTCGTTAACAGTATAACGCCTGTCTGCAGAACAGCAGGGAGACTTAACAGTGAAGCACCTCACGCACTTCCCTGTTTACTGACGTATCTTGATCTGGAGGCATGCGTGTGGAGCTGAAAATAGTTCTGCTTCCAAGTTTCTTGTGCAATTGTGGCTGGGTTCACTTTCCAAAGTACAATGGAGTGGTTACCAAAATTTGAGCCATTTTCTCTGTGTTTGTGTTGTGACTGAAGAATCATGTGTAGCATGTGCCATTATTTTGCAGAACTCCGATAAGCATTTAAACAGATGAAAAATGTTATGTGTGTAAAATCTGTCTTATTTTTGTAGTTCCTGTTCTCCTGATTCTTCTCCGGTATGGAAACGCAGAAAACGAAACAATTCTGACTCCTCTGTGGTTTCGAAGAGCAAAAACCATTACATGCATATGTACCACACGCTGGAAAGGTATGAAATGATTCTCCATGTGGAGATTCATTCATATTATAAGCAAAATTATTTATAAAGGTGTGTTTTTTCTCTTTACTTAGCCCCCTTGTCTTCAGAAGAATTAAGGGGAACTGTGACACACAGGTTCATGGTTTCAGACCTTTTAACTTACTTTCTAGTCTTACTGAATCTGGACGTCAGGAGGCTTTTTCGAAGTGCTCCGAGTGGGAAGCCTTTGGTGAAAATGATGAAGTAATGACAGTACAACATGGTATAGAAATAAAGTAAGTACCATAATGATGTTCGTTCTGTGAAGGTGTCCTTGGCTTTTTCCAATCTTCTGTTTCCTTCGCTGTTTAATACTATTGGGGTTTTTTTTTTCTCCTTACTCTTCCTCCAACGTGTGGTATGTTTGGTTGTCATTTTTGTTCTTTGAGTTTACTTCGCTTTTCCTAGTCTGACTCTCCATCTGTTGCTTTCTGCTGCTTCTGCTGTTAAGTAATGCTGGAAGATGCTGAGCCCCTTTCACCTTCATTGTGCTATGGAAAGCAGTGGCATTTTACAGAATTGGTCCCTGTGGTTGTTACTAGCCTCTCGCTTGCTAAGCCAAGAAGCTGAAAGCTGCTTCTCTGTCTCCTCAGAGATTAGTTTGTTTTGTAGCTGACAACAGTAATAGTTATTTGGTTTTATGCAGTGACCCAATTCCTGCCAGTTGTTCTTCAGGATGGAACAATCAGAAACAGAAAAAAAACAACTTCTTTCTGCCTGACAGCAAAACTTGCCGAGATACAGACTGCAGGCTGGAGAGGTATAAAATGCAGCTCATCAGTCGGGGGTTTTTTGCACATTGCGTTAGAAGCATACTTGCCTTATTGCTGTATTTCAATCCAAGTTTTTCTTGTAAACATGCTTTGGTTTTTTTCTATGCTTCTTGGGGAAGCGTTGGCCAATATTTATATGCTGTGTGGTAAAATTCTGTCCTTATGTTCTCTCGTTACAGGTAATAAATACTCTTATATTAGAGTAAATAGCAGGTTGTAGCTGTATTTAGTATAAAAAGGTTACCATCATAAAGCCACTTAGTCTTTCGGGGGTTTTTTTATTTGTAGGCTTAAACTTTGTAGCAGTTTTTTGGAAGGACGTCAGCCAGAATACCCTGAAAGAGGATGGGGATGTGCAAGTGGTGAAGATAGAATAATGAGGAAAAAAATTTAAATACCAAGGTGAGTTCATGCTGACTACTTATTTTGCATCTTCTGTTTCAGTAGCCCATGTGCAGATTCTACAGAATCCAACTGTTCAGTTCAAGCAGATCAATTTCTTTTTATTCCTTTATTATATTAGTATTTTCTCCCATCCTCTTGTATTTAATGCAGCAACTTAATTAAAAGTTCTAATACTTCAGACTTAGTAAATGGAAATATTTACCTGTTCAGCCAGGAAACATGTCTTTTATCTTATTGCCCAAATTAAAAGTGCCAGTTTTTAAAAATTATTTCAGTAGCATCTTTTCTTCCTCAGTATTTTTGGGAAGAAGTCACTGCTCTTCATTTGCTGCAGTAGATTTCAATGAAAATTTTCTCTTGGACTGTAGATTCCTGTGGTGTGGTAAAGGGATGGGTAGTATCTTGAGGTGAACAGCTTTTATTAACAGATAGTCTTTTGTGTAACTTGACTGTCTTTGATCTACATTTAATGCAGTCTCTGAAGTATTATGAGCTAGGATATAAATATCTGTTTAACAGTGATTTTGGAATACTTTGCATAATAAAAGTCATTAAGAACATGGTATTAAAAATATGGCACACAGTTTTATATTGCTTAGATTTTGAATTCTAGCAATGTGAGGAAAAGGCAGGTAGAGCTTTTAAATTGTGCTAATAGCATTTTTCTATTGACTGTATTGATTTTTTAATCTAAATTCTTTGAGCATGAATAAGACTTTCACTTTTCTAAAGTGCTAATTCAATATTTGAAAATATCTAGTCTCTCTTTGTATATAGAAGTATCGAAGAAGGACTTTCTCCCGTGACAGAAAACAATTTGAAGAATAGGGATGTAGTCTGAGATCAGCAGATCAAGTCTTGGAAAACTGGTGCAATCGCAAAAGATCTGCACTGAAAGAGGAAGAGATTTACAGTCAGCATATGTACAATCAACGTAAGGTGAAATGTGCAGGTAAAAGAAGTGTGCCTCTATACATCAGTGAAGAAAGCCTTGCTGATCATCTAGATAGTTGATGTTTAGCTGCTTTGCGGTTGTCTTTGCCATAAGTAAGCCTCTATTAAGGAGCGTATATATTCAATGGGTTCGTAGTCACTCATTCTAATTGAAAAAATATCTTTGTGACGTGTAAAATGTAGAAAGTGAGTCAAATAGCTTCTCTGTAGAGCAACACATTGGTTTCCTGGGATGCAAAGATCAATATTTAGAGAGATGCTGCCTTTAACTGTGGTTTTTAGGTGTGATGAGCTCTAACTCTTCAAATGGCAGGAACTTCATCTGTGGAAGGTGAATGTTTCTTGAAAACCAGATAGTGGCTTACAGGGTAGAACTTGCCACCACCTGCCTTTTTGCTAAAAGAAAATTTCTGTCTTAAACAGGAAAAACAAATGTGGCTGTTTCAGAGCCCAGTTAAATGTCCATAAGTTTGAACCTATCTGGTTGCTTTTTAAAGGAGAAAAACTGTAATTAGTAGGAAACTTAAGATATGGCAGGAGTGTGTTAATTAGAATTGAGGGGAAAATGTATTTTGTGAATTTATAATGACATTTAGGTGAAAGTGACATGAGGGTTTGGGAAAGATAGGCTCAACTGCTTCATTTTCTTTTTGACAAATACTTAAGGAATACAGGGGATATAGTACTCTATTTTCCTAACATATTTTCTCAAAAGTGTTCATTGTATCTGTAACGCTTCCTTTAATATGGACACTATGGCTTTGTCTTTTATACTGTGCTTTAAGCTCATCCTGCGCAGTGCTCTGTTCCATTTACTGCTGCTGTAACACTACAGCTTACAAGAGTAAATGTTTTGCTGTTAGTGACTAGATACATTGTATTTACAAAACACTGTTATCTACCTTTTTGTTTAGGTTTCTTCAGATCTTTAAGGCTAGATTATTTTCTGCAAGCTCTGCCTCAAGTGCAAAACTTTGGATTTCCTTAAGCCTCTGCTACAATGATGATGGATGTTCCTTAAAGCTTTTGTAAGAATGTTTCTGCTTTACCTGCATTGGTGGCATGCTACTTCAGTTGATGGATCCTGCTGTTGCTGTTGGGAGATCATGCCACTTAGAGTGCACCAATGTTATGCTGGTGAATTGGTCCAATATTGAGTCAGACTGAAGAATGCTGCCCCTTAAACCAAGGAGTTAAACCCTGTTTCCTCTTCTGGACCAGAATTGTACATCCAACCTGAAGAACTGCTTCAAAAGAATGTAGATAATTCCAACCTTTCTCCAGTTCTTAAACTGTTCGTAGCTTTGAAATTGTATGATCATCCATTTGGCTTATTTACCATTCTCTGAGATAAGATGTATTAAGGTAGTATTTGCCTAAGCCTAGTGAGAGAAGAGAAAGGAAAGGTAGATGGTTTATCAAAATCAGCTCCCTGTCTTTAAGGGGATGAGTGACTGAAGAGCAACACAACCTAAATACCTGGATTTTACTTTTATGTATGTTGCAGCCTGACCTAAAGAGCCAATCTACTTCTGAGAGTATAAGAGGATGAGTTCAGTGCCTGCTGTTCCTGCAGGAATTAGAGGTGAGCAGCAGTGTTTGCAGTTTTGGAGCTGTTCTTTGGCATAGGGTATCTAGGCTAAGCGTTGTGATGGTGTTGAGATAAGCTCTCCTTTGTTTTACTCTCTACACTATGCTCAGAAGGTCAAAGTGAGGGCTGTGGCTACAATGGAATTTAGACCAGATTCATGTGTCAGTTACAAGAATTTTTTACAGTCCTTGTGGCATTTTATGTAGCATGTACTGGGATCCAAATGTTAGAGCTGGGAATTGCCTCTCTGTGGGAGTTCAGTTTGGCTTTTCGCAAGGCCACTGCAGAACTGTGGCGGTGTAGGGATGGACACGCAGTAGCCTTGCTGTGGGGCTGGCAGTGTACCCAAGGGCCAAAAGCCTGTTGTGCTGCTGAAGTGGAAGTAAGCTGCTTCCCCAGAAACTACTCCCAGTCCCTTCTAAAACTTTTTTTTTTCTGGGCATGCTCAGGGGTTCAGTAGTGGGGTTCAGTAGTGTCCCAGCGTAAGGGTGGCTCAGTCACGCACCACAGAGCATGGAGTGTGTGTATACAAAGAACACATCTGCACAGCACTTTTAAAAGTAATATTTAGAACCTTGTTCCAGTGTGCATGCTTCCATGAGATTTATGATTGTAAATAAAGGAATGCATTACATTTTTGGCATTTTGTCTTTATGCAGAAGAATTAAAGTCTTTAACTTTAAAAATCCCTGTTAGTCTGCTTTTACTGTTATGTTGTCAGAGTTTCAGTAGTCCTTTTTTGTTTGTTTTAGGGCATTTTGGTTATTTGGGGGGGGTTAGCCTTTGCTAAAAGGGGAAAGGAGGACTCTTCAAAGATTAAATCAAACTCTTGAAGGGAGTCTATAGTACAATCTAGGTTGCGTCCAACCCCTCAGTTTGTATTTTGACATCTTGTTAGTAACTTGTATTTAGTGTATCGTAGCCTAGTGGAAGGGAGCAACTGAAGCCCCAGCGCCCATTCTGCCATGAGAAAGGGCTCCTCCTGGAGAGAAGGGAGCTGTTAGGTGAGGAGTAATAGGCTGTCATGAAATACTGAAGCTCAGCTCTCAGAACCCTTCAGCTTTTGCCTGTGATGGACAGAGCCTGTAGCAGGTTTATGGACACAAATCCATAGGATTTGTAATTCAGCAGTTCTTAAAAGATCTTGTCTTAGACTAGAAATAGGATAACCAATCTGCCTGCAGCAGTTAAATTTTGGGCAGATTTATTCCCTAATCCAGGTTCTGTACGCTTGGACAAGCTGTGCTAGTACAAAGAAAGGAATGACACTGAGCAGATGAGGTTTGAGGTCTGCTAAAGTCACTTCATGCAGTGCTCCCACTGGATGTAGAACTATCGTTATGTCTTCTAATTAGTAACAGTACCCTCATCAGTCTAAACAGAACAGTTAAAACTGGAGTGCAGTACATCTGTTCACTTGTTTATCTATTCAAGGCTATTTGAGGTAGGAGTTTACAACTGAGGTATGCAAAGCTGAAGTCTGGCACTCCACCCCCAGTTTGTATTTGATAGT